TTTGCCGCCCTGAACCCAGCTCTGGCCTGGGAGGGCGGGGTACAAATAAAATAAAATACAAATACAAATTTGTTGTTGTTGTTATTGTTATTATAATTATTATTCTCAGTGCTTAAGCACATCTCATTTTTAGGCAAGCGGCCATCTCAAAATGTCATCGCCTGCTCTTTTTAAGCAACCAGGGCAGATCTACACACATGTTTTTTAACGCTAAAAGAGTACAGGAATGGTCTCGATAACCAGTGAGCCGTGTGACGTTATTTTTTTAACATTAATAATGCCTTCATAATATGTGACATCAGGGGGCACTGCAGAGCGACCCCCGTCCAGAAACGAGGGAGACTTTGTGGAAAGGAAGCAAAAGAGAAAAATCAAAGGAGTCTCTTTCTGTCTTGACATTTGGGAACAATATTTTTAACAGCATTCTAATAGCATTTTAAAGGTGAGCGCCAGCCCAGGAGCTCTTGATAATTCTATTATTCTATTCTATTCTATTCTATTCTATTCTATTCTATTCTATTCTATTCATTTCATTCATTTACTGGATTTCTATACTGGCCTATATCCAAGGCAGTTCAGAGAATAAAAGCAGAATACAAAAGCACAAAATAAATCATCAAAATAAAAACAACCACCACCTAATTGCCCAATAATTCCTGCTTCCTCCTCATCCAGGGATTTTCCCTGCATTCTCCTAGTGTTTCCCTTGGGAGCACAGCCAAGGCCTCCCTCTGTGGCTGGATCTCCCCTTTGCTCCTCCCCCCGTGTTCTTTCTGCAACTGCGTCCCCCCCCACGGCCCCCAGCCCCCCAGCCCTGCTCACTCTGGGGCAGGTCCTCTGCTCGGTACACCTTGAGGGAGAAATGGGCCCCTCTCAGAGAGACCCCCGTCGCCCTGAGGACGTTTCCTTCGATGTCCTCCTTCTCTTCGGCCGTTTCCTTCCTCTCCACCTGCAGAACAAGCAGCGGGGGGGGGGGAGGATAAAAGGAGAGGACTAGGAATTCACCCTTGGAGCTTGCAAGGAAAACTGCACCTGTTGAACTTCTGGGTCCTGTGCACCTTGATTCCAGGCACTGTTTTAAGAGTTCTAGGACTCTTATAAAACAATGCAAATAAAACATTTCAAGAGTGTTTTAAATGCATTATACAAATGCAAAACTAGATGGCAATGGTGAGATGATGGCAATTCCAATCTGTTTTTCGAAACTGTTTTTTGTTAAAAAGCGTTTTTTATATGCATCGAGATTCCACCCTGGTCTAGTTTAGTCAAGACTAATAGTTGTTCATCTGTTGCCTTTTTCCCAAGCTGGGGCCCAAGGTGGCTTTCAACACGTTTAAACAACGCAGGTACACGAAATATAAAAAGCTAAAAACGCATGCAGGATAGCCATTAAAAGGCCATTAAACTGGAATAATCATTAAAACAATGTTTTTTGGAATGCAGATGATAAAAATCCATCAAAACATCACTTAAGGACAGTGTGCGGATTCTGGGCTGAACGTTGATTCTTGGTACAACAGAGTGTGGTCAATAGCATTGGCTGAGAAACTAACATGCCAGGTGAGAGCAGGAATATACTATATATTCCTTTTATAATATATGGCAAAGGTTTATTGGATACATAAATTGTTCAGACTGCAGCAAGAATCCACCCAGTACTCCTGGAAAAATGGGGCAGGATCTCTTAGAGGAATCAACCTAAACTTTAACATGTGGTATGACAAAATTCTGCCATTTTATCAGGACAAGTTATTTGTTGTTTACTGTTGTAATAATTGTTTTCTCAACATTTATCTTCTGTACCATGAAAATAAATAAAAAACTGTATTAAAAAGAAAAGAAAAGGCATGGGTCCTACAATGATGGAGTTTCTCCCCAAAGGGTTTGGGGCCCAGCATGTAAGGTTCCCCCAATAAATTTCCACCTTTCTGGAGATGAGAAGGTGTCACGGCCAAACCTCTTTCTTCTGCCCTTTTTGTTAAATTTAAAGAAATACTCACAGGCGCTTCGTCGCCAGGGCCCAGGACGTACAAGCTGACCTTCAGGTAGCCCTTAGCCCCTGCCGAAAAATCCTCCGGATCGGAAAGGAGGAGCCACTTTCGGAGGAAGGCGTGTCCTGCAGCAGAAAGCGAAGTGCGAATATCGAATTGGCACCCAGGAAGCAGAAGGAGATGCCATTGCTGATTTGATTCTGGGCCACGTTCAGCGAGCTCATATATAAAGCCCTTAAGAACTTGGGACCAACTGAGCTATGGACACACAAGCTCTACGTTTCCCTCTTGCCAAACTTTCTTCTCCTTCCACCCCTAGTTTAACAAAGAAAATCATTCAGTCCTCTGGATAAAATAGTTTTGACATCTCGGAAGCGGCAGAGCACATTCCCTCCGCGCTAAACTCATTTATCTATGCTAAACAAACCAATTCCTTGCTAAAACGAAGTCAAGAGGCACACGAGAAGCAAATTCCACTCACTGGATTCGGCATAAATTGTCCCAACATCCACCTGCAAAACACAAGCACAGAGAATCATAGCGTTGGGGAGTTGGAAGGGGCAAAAAAGGGTCATCTAGTCCAACCCCCTTCAACCCATTGGAAATTGTGAATCGGGGAGAGAGGAATCCCCTTGCTTGCTCCCCAGTCTGGCCAGTGTGTACGGCCCCCACCTCGCTGAAAGACCCCCCAACCCACTTTTCCACCAGGTTTCTGTAGGAAGTGGCCATGGGGGCTAAGCACAGCTAGTGTGTCTCCCATATCATCCAACATTTCTCCCATGAAAACAGGGACGTCCCGCTCCATCGTGTTAATTTTACTGTTTATACCCCACCCATCTGACTGGGTTTCCCCAGCCACTCTGGGCAGCTTCCAACAAAGATTAAAAATACATTAAAATGTCACACATTAAAAACTTCCCTGAACAGGGCTGCCTTCAGATGTCTTCTAAATGTCAGGTAGCTGTTTATCTCTTTGACATCTGATGGGAGGGCGTTCCACAGGGTGGGTGCTACCACCAAGAAAGCCCTCTGCCTGGTTCCCTGTAGCTCTGCTTCTCGTAGTGAGGGAACCGGCAGAAGGCCCTCAGCGCTGGATCTCAGTGTCCGGGCAGAACGATGGGGGTGGAGACGCTCCTTCAGGTATACTGGGCCAAGGCTGTTTAGGGCTTTAAAGGTCAGCACCAACACTTTGAATTGTGCTCGGAAACGTACTGGGAGCCAACGTAGGTCTTTCAAGACAGGTGCTATGTGGTCTCGGCGGCCGCCCCCAGTCACCTGTCCAGCTGCCGCATTCTGGATTAGTTGTAGTTTCCAGGTCACCTTCAAAGGTAGCCCCACATAGAGCGCATTGCAGTAATCCAAGCGGGAGATAACCAGAGCATGCACCACTCTGGAGGGACATCCCAACATTTATCCAATGAAAATAATGATGTCGTATTCCATACCTTCCAAAAAATTTCCAGTGAAACTAGGTATGTCCTAAGGAAATGTGGGACATTCAGGGATGAAATCAGAAACTGGGACGGCTTCTCTAAATCAGGGATATCCCTGGAAAATAGGGGCAGTTGGAGGGTCTGGTCTTCCTTTCAGAAGCCCTTCGCAGAGGAAAAACTACCCCAAGGAAGAGGCCAGGGGCCAAGCAAGGAGACCAAGCCCAAAGGTCTTGCATGCATTTGTGTCCTCAGCCAGGCATCGTATAGAAGGAACGCAAAGAAAGACCGGTTTCCTAAACCCATAAAAGTGAAATGGAAGGTGTCCTTACCCGGAATTCTCCAAGGACAGAATCCGTCCGGAGAGAGCGAGAGTCAACGACCTGGAGAGGAGGAAGGAGGAATGTCAGAGAAGCTCCAAAGAGCTCGATACACAGGAAGAACCTTCTGTTAGTTTGCATCTTGCAGGGGACATGGATCTGCAACCTTCTCTGGGCCATAAATGGAGCCTCCTGGCCGACCAGAGGCCACCACCTGCCTCCTCTGCTCTTCCCGGGGGCATTTTGGTCGGCTGCAGGCATGGCCTGCAATCTGGCACCAGGCAAAGCGGCTGCAAAGTGATGCCTCTTCCTGGACTGTGACACCAAGCTCAGCATGGCGAATCCAAGGGCGTCTCAGGACACAAAGGGACTACAAATCCCAATATGCAAGGCACAGTCCTAAGCCCAGGGGATCCCTCTCGCTGATTCAAAGCCTGAACCTAGAAATCAGGAGCTCAGGAAATGAAGACAAGGCAGCGACTCAACCATCCGTTAAGTGAAGAATATTGCAAGACTACAGAACCCAACACGCAGTGCTCACGCTCAGCACCTGCATCAATCAGAATGAAGCCATCCCGCAAAATTTCTGCTCTGCAGATTTTAATGGTGAATATTCAGTGGATCCTCAAATAGTCTTTAGACGACATAGTTGGTGGTATCTAACAGGAGATCCATCCAAGAGGTTTTTCTCCAAGAGCAATACTGAGTAATCGGGCATACTGTAAACTGCTTTGATTTTTGATTTTGGGATACAGTATAGTGGTATAGAAATATATTTATAAAAATAAACTACTTCTGAATGAAATCACCTCAAATGAACTTTTGACGCGACCAATAAAATGTGTTAGAAATGGGAGAATACAGTAGGTCCATTTCAGTTTCTCCTTTCCCCCTTTTTAAACTCAGTTTCCCACATCAATTTGCTTTTTTTTTTTAAGTCCTCATAAAAACTCTTTGACATTTTACTACAAATTTATCCTCGTGTTCACAGTCTTGTGTGCCATTTTGCCTTCAACATCCAGGGGTTTATTTACAGAGCAATTTCCCCTAATATAATGCATTCTTGTATGTAGTTTTCACCAAGACGTGCATCTATGTGCACAGTGTGTCCTAGTCATGTCTCTGCATCTTATTTGGCTAAAGAATCGCATTGCAAACTTCAGAGAAATGCAAACCTCAAAGGGCTGCTTTGAAAAGTGTGGAGTAGCTTGGTTTGCCTTTAAATTATTATCTTTATTATTTATTATTTGTTATTTATTATCCCTTCTCAGCCTTTTGGCTAAGACCAAGTGTAGTATTATTTATTAATGTGAACTGAATCTTATTTCTCCCCATCCCTAGAAACAGTCCCCAAAGTTGACACTCCCTGACCCCCACTTACCGTGATGAATATGGGCTCATCGAACAGCTCCATCGGGGATTCAAAGACATTGAAGAAAAAAGTCTGTGGGGAACAGAAAGAAACATGGGTGCACCCATCACCCATAGGTGCACCCATGCACGCATAAGACATTGCACACAAGACCACAATGGACGACAGTGAAGCCTGCCTGAAAGGACCACCAAAAGACAGCTCCTCAACCCCAAAAAAATCAATTTTATCTTCTTCTGTCCTGCTCCTCTCAAAATCTAAAGGCCACGCGCCACTTCTGAAAGATGCTCAAAGCTGAGCTATAGAAGGGCGTCCCAAGAACATGCCATTCAGTAATCAAACAGTTCAAAGATGGAGTTAACGAGGGTTGCCGTATTTCAAAAAGTAATGGAGGATGCAGCAAGCTTGCTTTCTCCTGCTCTGGGGGGTGGGACTCGAACCCAGAGCTTCAAGTTACAAGAAAGGAGAATCCATTTCAACCTCAAGAAGAACTTTCTGGCAGTCGGAGCTGTTTGGTGGTAGAATGGACTCCCTCCAAAGGTGGTGGACTCTCCTTTGCTGGAGGATTTTAAGCAGAGGTCAGGGGTTCTTTAGCTGTGATTCCTGCGCTGAAGTGCGTTGAAGGCCCTTGGGGTCCCTTCTGTTAGGATTATGATCACCTAAACAGATGTGTGAAGCTGTTGTATGTTACATGTCTGTTTACATTCCAGGACAGCTTGCTGGGAACTTCCGTTTGGGTATTGCTTTTGCTTTGTGCTTGCTGCTTTTTGCTCGGACACGAAAGAGAGTAGACATGTTTTCTTTGTCCTGAACTATGCTGAATAAAATGCTGTAAATAATGCTTACACATGTCTCTGTCCGCCACTTCCATTGTGAAGAGTTATTCACTCTGCTGATAGAGCGTGCTCAAGTTTCTAAAGGCTTCTGAAGCTATGAGTCACAGATTGATGCTGTTCCAAGGGAGAATGGAGTTCGCTTGGCTGCCGGCCAGTAGGCTGGAGCCAGCTGGGGGCCTGCAAGCTGCCCCCATTCCCTGGACGCATCCCAACATCTTCCTGCTCAATGGTTCTGTGATTCCATGAAACAGGGACACGGGTGGCACTGTGGGTTAAACCACAGAGCCTAGGGCTTGCCAATCAGAAGGTCGGCGGTTCGAATCCCGGGTGAGCTCCCGTTGCTTGGTCCCTGCTCCTGCCCACCTAGCAGTTCGAAAGCACATCAAAGTGCAAGTAGATAAATAGGTACCGCTCCGGCAGGAAGGTAAACGGTGTTTCCGTGCGCTGCTCTGGTTCGCCAGAAGCGGCTTAGTCATGCTGGCCACATGACCCGGAAGCTGTACGCCGGCTCCCTCGGCCAGTAAAGCGAGATGAGCGCCACAACCCCAGAGTCGGCCGCGACTGGACCTAATGGTCAGGGGTCCCTTTACCTATATTCCACCGGCTCCCACCCAGAAATACTGAGTGAGCCTCTCCTTTTCTTCTTTGGCCTCCTCAAAAGAGCAGCAGAAGAACGTTGTTAGGTGGACAAATGGGAGCCACCTGGTCCGGCCTCCTGTTCTCACTATGGCAACCCAGATGCCCCCCAAGGAACCCCAAAAGCGGCACCCGAGCGCAACCTCCTCACCTCATCAAAGACGGGGCAGTTCCCTTTGCGGATCCTGGTCCTCTTGGTCTGCCCGGCGGCCGTGACCTTCACCACAGACTTGATGTTGACTCCAGGAAGCTGCCGGCCTTCAATGACTCGCACCCGGATCTGGAAAGTTGCAGAAGAAGGAGGTTGCCATAGGCATCGTCAGGGACTCCTGAGGCTGAGTCAGTTTCCCAAAAGGAGAACATTGGAAGAGCCCAGGGACAGCTGGATCAGGCCAAAGGAGGCCAATACCATCTCCTGGTATGCCCCGCGGAGGACCTTAAGGTCCACAAATGACAACATTTTGGAGGTCCCAAGTCGCACAGTGGTTAGATTGGTCTCAGCTAGGGCCAGGGCCTTTTCAGTACTGGCCCCAACCTGGTAGAAAGCTCTGTCACAAAAGACTAGGGCCCTGTGGGACTTGACATCTTTCTGCATGGCCTGCAAGACAGAGCTGTTCCACCTGGCCTTTGTTTTGGACTCAGTCTGACCCTTAGGTTTCCCTCCCCTTATGCTTTTGATCTATGGGCTACTTTAAAATGAGGCTGCATTTTAAATTGCATTTTAACCTGTATTTTAACTTGGGTTTTTTTCTTTTTCTTTTTTCTTACTATGTTTTTACTGAAATTTTATTGGTGTTAGCTGCTCTGAGCCTGGCTCCGGCCAGGGAGGGCAGGGTATAAATAATATTATTAATTATTATTATTATCTAGTTCAGCATCCTGTTCTCCTGTCAGATTTCCATTTGGAGACACCAGGCTGCCCCCAAGATTCAGGGGGCCCGCGTGCCCTGAACACCGCAATGTGCATGCGGTGGAAGAGAACAAGTGCTCTGGAGGTGCCAGCCCCTGGATGTGCGACGTGCACCGGGCGTCACGCACACCATGTCGCACCGGTGCAATGCATGCAGGGCCACCTCAAGACCAAAGGGGCCCAAATGTGGAGGGAGCCAAGGTGTCTTGGGCACCCTAGAGTTGTTGAACCCGTTCCCACTGGAAACCCGCAAGCGGGATTCAAGCAGAATAATAATAATAATAATAATAATAATAATAATAATAAAATAATAATACAGTGGTGCCTCGCAAGATGAAAAGAATCTGTTCCGCGAGTCTCTTCGTCTTGCGGTTTTTTCGTCTTGCGAAGCAAGCCCATTAGCGGTTTAGCGGATTAGCGCTATTAGCGGCTTAGCAGGCTTAGCGGGCTTAGCGGATCAGCTGATAAGCGGCTTAGCGGCTTAGCGGATCAGCTGATAAGCGGCTTAGTGGCTTAATGGATCAGCTGTTAAGCGGCTTAGCGGATCAGCTGATAAGCGGCTTAGCAGCTTGGGAAAAAGGGGGGGGGAACCCCCGCAGGAACTCGCAAGACATTTTCGTCTTGCGAAGCAAGCCCATAGGAAATTCGTTTTGTGAAGCACCTCCAAAACGGAAAACCCTTTCGTCTAGCGGGTTTTCCGTCTTGCGAGGCATTCGTCTTGCGGGGCACCACTGTAATAATAATAATAATAATAATAATTTATTTATATCCCGCCCTCCCCAGCTGAAGCCGGGCTCAGAGCAACTAACACCCAATAAAAATAACACAGCATTCTAAAATCAATTCAGAATCAAATTCATGGCAACCATTGGGCTAGAGTTCTGTGAGGATTACCAAAGGAGGGGGTCAGACTGTGCCTTGGCCAAAGGCCTGGTGGAACAGCTCTGTCTTGCAGGCCCTGTGGAAAGATGTCAAGTCCCGCAGGGCCCTAGTCTCTTGTGACAGAGCGTTCCACCAGATCGGGGCCACATCCGAAAAGTCCCTGGCTCTGGTTGAGGCCAGCCTAAACTCCCTGTGGCCCGGGACCTCCAAGATGTTTTTGTTTGGAGACCGTAAGGTCCTCCATGGGACATACCAGGAGAGGCGGTCCTGGTATGAGGGTCCTAGGCTGTATAGGGCTTTAAAGGTTAAAACCAGCACCTTAAACCTGATCCTGTACTCCACCGGGAGCCAGTGCAGCCAGTATAGCACCGGGTGAATGTGATCCCATGGCAAGGACCCCATAAGGAGTCTCTCCGCGGCATTCTGCACCCGATGGAGTTTCTGGGTCAGCTTCAAGGGCAGCCCTCCTGCAATTCCCAACCTCTGTCATTCAGGGACATTTACAGCTTCTGACAAGGGAGCGAATAGTAGCCTTTGTGGTTAGCAGCCACTGAAAGCCTCGGCTACTCCCCAAACTTTTCCAAACTCCTTTCCAAGCTGGCAGCCAGCTCTGCCTCCTTTGCAGACAAATTCTGTAAGTTCAACTAACGCCATGTGCAAAGAAGGATCTCCTTTGATCTGGGCTCATCTTGCACAGCATATTTCTGCCTCAGGGCCAGAAGTTTGGCCAAGAGGAGGGACGGCAGAGTCTGAAAGTTTGGGTGCAGGGGGGACAACCTGGGGAGAGGGCGCTTGATCACCTGGAAGTCTTGCGGCTTGTTGGACAGGAGCTTTTTGGAGGCAGCTCTCCTCCTCTTGGTCCCGTGGACCACGTGCGATGGGGGCTTCTTGGGCAGGGAGACTTGATCCGGCGCAGAGGGGCCCGTGGAAGGATCAGCTTCATCGCCCGTTCCAAGGGGGTCTTCAGACTCTTCCTCGCCGGCTGTATCTGGAGGTAACAAGAAACAGGGTTGTTCTGAAAGCAGCAGTTCCCAAACCTTTGGGCGTCCCCTCGGTATCACAGCCTCATTCCCACCACCCTGCAAAAAGCATACCGTATTTTTCGCTCTATAAGACGCCCCAGACCATAAGACGCACCTGGTTTTTGGAAGAGGAAAACAGCACTGCGATCCCACTGGCTGTCCTGGCTTATGGACAGCTGCGCTCCCTTTAAAGAGCACGCAGAGTGTGTGTGTGGTTCTTGGGGGCTTTTCCCCGAGGAGGGAGAGGAGCAGCCCTTCTCCCTCCTCAGGGAAAAGCCCCCAAGAGCCGCACACACGCTCCACGCGGCTCTTTAAAGGGAGCGCTGAGCAGAGCCTCCCGCCTGCATTCGCTCCATAAGACGCACACACATTTCCCCTTACGTTTTAGGAGGGGGAAAGTGCGTCTTATAGAGCGAAAAATACGGTAATTCAGAATAGCTGACCAATGTAATAAATAAATAGAAACCAGAGTAGGACATGAGGGAAACTGTCTCGTACTGACCTGTCACCATGTCCAGCTCAACGGGGGTTGGATTTGGCTCTGGGGGGGCAGGAGGCGGAAACAAAGGAGCAGCCCCAGGAGGCGGGACGTAGGAGGCTTGCAGGATGAGACACGCCTGAGGAGTAAAGAAGATGCCTGATGGAAGTGGGGTGCTCTGAGCCCTGACACAGCACACCAGGG